GAGAGAGAGAGAGAGAGAGAGAGAGAGAGAGAGAGAGAGAGAGAGAGAGAGAGAGAGAATTAAGAGGGGGGCGATAACTTATCGAAAATGAATTCAGGCGATTCGTCACCGAGCACCTTTCTTATGTCTCATCCTAGAAAATGGCGGGAGTCTGCCAGAGGTCCGATTATCGTGGCGACGGTGATCGTTAGCTGTGTGACCCTCGGCTTCGCAGTTGTATTTCCAGGCATCAAGGAAGCGGGTCCTAAGGACATTTTGTTCCTAGCTGAGGCGGCTTGCAGCGGGGCGGCAATTGTTCTGCTGGTGATTGTCTATCAGGTCGATCCGGGCGTGATTAGGCCGAAGAGCGTGAAAGATGAAGAGGTGACCAAGGCAGAGCATGGACAGACTGCTAATCTGTCTAAGGATGAGAAAGGACAGTGGTGTAGGAAACGCACGCTAGCAGACGGGAAAGTGGAAATCTATGAACGATATTGTGGCACGTGTCATATTTGGCGACCACCACGTGCTTCGCATTGCAACGTTTGTGGGTATTGTATGCAGCGGTTTGATCATCATTGCACGGCGCTAGGCACATGTATAGCAAGGAAGAATCATAGGTTTTTCGTGGCTTTCCTAGTCTCTGTTTCTCTAGGCGCTCTGTTCCTGTTAACAGGAGCGATTTTCTCGTTGAAAGACATTGAATGGGGAACAGTGCGGGCGTGGAGAGACTGGCACATGTACGTTATCATCATTTTGGCCCTCGTGTACTTGTACGTCAGCCTTATTGCTTGGTTCGCGGCGGCGCACATCTTTCTTCTCTTGTGCGACTTGACTACGAAGCAATATTTGAAGTCCGATCCGGAGGCCGTTTTCCTTACAGGACGCCCGGATTGCCAAAGATTCTTCGGAAATCTGCGGAGCGTGTGCTGCGCCAATATTAAATGGAAGTACTTATCAGGTAAACCCGTCTTCACTGATCCTTCTGTATCCGTTGGGAATGCGGTTGCTCCTGCGCCTCCCGTGTGAACATACGCTTCTGTTGCTACACATCGGAGTCATTAAAACTCAGAGACGGATCAAAGGAGAGAGAACCAGAAAGAATGTTTGTGTCTGTGTGTTTGTGTGCGTGTGTTAGTGTGTGTGCGAGAGAGAGAGAGAGAGAGAGAGAGAGAGAGAGAGAGAGAGAGAGAAGAGAGATCCGTTGGGAATGCGGTTGCTCCTGCGCCTCCCGTGTGAACACGCGTCTGTCGCTACACATCGGAGTCATGAAAACTCAGAGATGGATTAAAGGAGAGAGAACCATAAAGAATGTGTGTGTGTGTGTCAGAGAGAGAGAGAGAGAGAGAGAGAGAGAGAGAGAGAGAGAGAGAGAGAGAGAGAGGTGCGGCTGAATTAGGGTGAAAGGTGTATTTGTTTTGTTTGTGAACGAAGCTGTGGTTTGATGTGCAATAATATGCGCTAAGCGATCGAGCTCTCAGAGGGGTTGATCTTTGACGGAGTTCTTGGCTGGTGCCCTGGATGCCAAGGAGGGAGGGAGGGAGGAGGGAGGAAAAGGAGCAACGAGGCATGCAACGGAAGTATGCATGCGAATTTTTGCGTAGTGCAAGAGTGCGCATGCGTGCGAGAGTAGAACTTCATCTGCGCCGAGGGTTTTCATTTTTAGGTCGCGCTCTCTCAGTTTCTCAATTAAGTAATTCGTTCTCCTCACCGGTGATCGTTGTAAGGCGGGTTTTCGTTCGACAAGCAGGGAGGATGGTGATCGGACTGATGATCGAAAGCAGCTGTCATCAAATTTTAGATGCAATTTGAACAAGCGGTACGGTGAACAAGAGGGAGGGAGACATGGGTGCGGCTGCGGCTGTGAGTTTTGTCGGTCGGAGAGAGGTGGGCGGTGTGTGTGGATATGAGGTCGAAGACGAACACAGCCTGACGAGGGTTTTGTTATGACTGAGAGAGGGCGAGGTGGGCGGTGTGTGGATATGAGGTCGAAGACGAACACAGCGAGCGTGATGAGGGTTTTGTTATGACTGAGAGAGGGCGGGTATTGAGCGTGTACAGTACTTTCCGTAGACGATTAGGGGGTGTTGTGCTATTGCGTGCTACCGGCCGGTGGAGGTGATATAGGGCCTCGCTGAACTGCTCATCATCAAATGCGCAAAAGACGAGAAATATGATGATGATAATGGTCTGTCCATGTTTATGTGTTCTAGGGGACAGATTCGTTCTCATTTTGCACATTTGGCGGGTAGCGGCGAGAGGGCCATATTTTACCGAGTGAAACATCCCTCTTCCTTATCTCTAGTACGAAAGAAGGGAGGGAGAAGTATGCTGCTGTGCACATCGTGGACGTGAAAAACGTGTATATAGAGACGTCATTCTCTGAATAGAGTGAGGAAATAACGTTTTTTTTTTTTGCAAACGTGGCAGTCGGGCCATGGCCTTTCTTCGCAGTCTCTCTCTTTTTTTGGCATCATCGTCATTCTCTGAATGCGGCCTTGGACCTGGATCCACTACTACTCTCGACATGCGCAAACGACAAAAAATAAAAATACGGCAGTGTATCTGTCCGGGTTTTAGTGAAGGATTCAGTCTCAGTTTTGCTCATTTCCAGAGTAGTGGAGTTCTTTATCACGATTCTCATCGTCGCAGTGTATCTGTCCGGGTTTTAGTGAAGGATTCAGTCTCAGTTTTGCTCATTTCTAGAGTAGTGGAGTTCTTTATCACGATTCTCATCGTCGCAGTGTATCTGTCCGGGTTTTAGTGAAGGATTCAGTCTCAGTTTTGCTCATTTCGGGAGTAGTGGAGTCCTTTATCACGATTCTCATCGTCGCAGTGTATCTGTCCGGGTTTTAGTGAAGGATTCAGTCTCAGTTTTGCTCATTTCGAGAGTAGTGGAGCCCTTTATCAGGATTCTCATCGTCGGGTTCAAGAGGGTCGGGGGCAGTGAGGAAATAACGATATTTCTTTGCAAACGTGACAGTTGGCGAAGGCCTTACTTGGGTCTCTTTTTTGTCATTATCGTCATCTTGTTAATGGGTCTTAGGGTCGCTGCACTACTGTCGAAATGTGCAAAACGACAGTGAATCGTCGGCAAGAATATGGAAAGATGCACCGCCATGATTTTTGTCTTTTGCGCATGTCGAGAGTAGTGCAGCGAGGCCCTTACTCTCGATTCTCATCTTCAGGGGGAAGTGGGTCGGCTGTTCTTGGTCAGAGGACAAACCAGCAGTGAGCCGTTCTACGTGTTCGATACGAGCCGCGGGGAATCAAGAGATCTCGTTCGTGATTGTTAAGTCTTGTGGGAAGACTTGGCATGTTTAGTCTGGGAGAGAAATATGACGATATCAAGATGAAGGAGAGTCGTAAGAAGCTCAGCTGTGTGTAAACGGGGGAGAGAGAGAGAGAGAGAGAGAGAGAGAGAGAGAGAGAGAGAGAGAGAATTGAGTGTGAGGGGGGTGTGGGTTGGGCAAAGGCGGGATCGAGGGAGAGGAACATGAAGGCGGGATCGAGGGTTTCGCAAACGAACGACACGATGTGCGCATGAGGTCGATAGAGAGAGAGAGAGTAGCATGAAGGTGTTTGGTGGTGGGGGTTAAACGGATTGCAGGGGCCAAGAGGAGGGAGGGGAGTACGTTAAAGCACTGTAGTACTTCCTAGAGTCGTGCCCGTTAACGCGCCACGATTTTAGGAAATGTACGGGCCACTACAGGCGCGCCCAAATTCATCCGACTGGAAACGTTTCTACTTTATTTTTTTGCCGCGGTCGATAGCTGGGCCAAGTACTGGTGGTTTAAGAGGTTAGTCGGTAGAGAGAATTTGCAGATGGGAGATGGATAGTAAAGGTGATGGGCGATGGCGATTACTTCTCTAGCTATGGAATCCTCTCGCTTCCACAAGCCTTTGTCTATTGTCTTGCGGTACCTGACGTCGTCTGCTGGACCTTGCATATTACTCTCAAGTGGTCAGTCGTAATTTCCTCTAATGTGTCTCCAATCTGCCTGAAGAGAGAGAGAGAGAGAGAGAGGGTGGAATATATGATCGCCACGTGTTGGGTAGCGGCAATTTGTTAGTGTGGGACACTGGCGACGGTCGGAGGTGTTGAGGATGTCATAGGGATGGATGGGTCGTAGGGAGGGATGATGCTTCTTGCGAAGAGGGAGGCGCTTGTTGTCACTCGTATTCTCAAGGAATAATGATAAACGGAATGGAAGAGCAGGACATGAAGGGAGACTAGGAGAAAGGAGGGAGACTTGGGAGAAGAGTGCAGATGGATGGATTGATTGACGAAGGGGCATTGGCAGCTGCTTCATATTCGCTTCCACTACATCGCTCTTGTGGTAGCTTTCTATCTCCAGGCGCACTGGTAGGATAACGACTATGTCATTCTTTCAACTTTTCACTGCGTATTTTTTATTACAATTATTTTGTTTAGATATTTGACATTGAACCTATCGAAGCGTCCCTGCACACTCCTTAATGCCGTCATTCGTTCAACTACGCACCAAGCTTGCTCACTCCTTAGATATTTGACATTGACTTAAGTGAGTAGCAGTCGATCAACTACGAACCAAGCTTGCTCGAGTTATGCTTTAATTGCGCGGAGAGTGCCCGCGCGAGGGCGATGAACTTGTCGGGGGAGGAGAAAGAGGGTACGGGAAGGGGAGGAGAAAGAGGGTACGGGAAGGGGAATGGAAAGAGGGTACGGGAAGAGGAGGAGAAGGAGGGTACGGGAAGAGGAGGAGAAGGAGGGTACGGGAAGAGGAGGAGAAGGAGGGTACAGGAAGAGGAGGAGGGCGGAGGAGACCGCGATGGAGAGCGAGGGAAAGAGCGAAAAAGAGAGCGAAGAGTGAGGGGGAGAGCAAGAGAAAGGGAGGAAGAAAGAGCGAGAGAGAGGGAGCGAGCGAATGATGGTGAAATCAAACGGGGAAGAGAGAGAGAGAGAGGGAGGAGACCGCGATGGAGAGCGAGGGAAAGAGCGAAGAAGAGAGCGAAGAAGAGTGAGGGAGAGAGTGAGGGAGAGTGCAACAGAAACAGGGAGGAGACCGCGATGGAGAGCGAGGGAAAGAGCGAAGTAGAGAGCGAAGAAGAGTGAGGGAGAGAGTGAGGGATAGAGCAACAGAAAGGGAGGAAGAAGAGCGAGAGAGAGGGAGCGAGCGGATGATGGTGAAATCAAACGGGGAAGAGAGAGAGAGAGAGAGAGGGTGGATTGGGGAAACGACACTGGAAAGAAAGATGTGGAGAGGGAACGAGGAGCAGGGAGAAGAGGAGAAGAGGGGACAAAGAGAATGAGGAGGGAAGAGAGAGAGGGTGAGGAGGAGAATGTAAAGAAGATAAGAGGGACGAAGGTGAGAGCATGAAGGTGGTGAAAGAGAGGAAGAGAGAGGAGAATAGATGGGAGGCTGGAATTCGGGGGAGGGGAGGATGCATTGTGAGAAATGCGGCTTGAGAAGTGGAATGCGAGCGAATAATCTTTGGCGCGTAGTGGTAGCACAGAGAAGTGGGGAAGTTTCTAGTGTGTTATGAATAGAAGGGCAAGTGAAGTTTCTAGTGTGTTCTGAATAGAAGGGTATGTGATTGTAGAGAGGAGTGTGGTGGGGAAACGACTGAGAGCGGCGTGGACTGTGGAGAAGTGGAAGCAGCGCAGAAGGATGTTAGAGAGAGAGTGAGCACTGTGATTAGACCATTTGGAGGGAGAGAAGTGAGGGTTCTCTTGGCATGTGCTGTTTTTTTTTGTTTTTTGTTTTTTCTTCTGTGCCGAACATGTACAGCGCCGCCGTGCGGCGAGTGTGGTGCGTTTAGGGATGCATATGATGCCTCGCTAAATTATGGAACATTCGAAATGCATCTGGATCTGGAGGTGGTCTTTATGCATTCGAAATGTTGGAGGAGTTGGAATGTATTTGGACCGTTAATCAGCCCAAATACGTTTCTAATGTAGGATAGTTGAGCGAGGCATATAGAGCATCATGTGAATAAGTTTGTGGCAGTGACTTGTGTCCCTCTTTGTTGCCTTCCTGTTTTTTTTTTGTTTTTGTTTTTTAGTCCCGATCTATTTCTCTTTTTCTTTTTCTTTTCTTTCCTTGTTTTGGTGGTAGTGGTAACTATTAGGTAGGGGGATGCGTGGTGCCACTGCAAGTTCACCCCGAGCTTCGGATCATCTCCTCATGTCTATGGGCCTCGCTGCACTATCTCTCGAAATGTGCAAAACGAGAGTGAATCTTCCGCTAGAACATGGAAAAATACAGCGGCATGATTTTTGTCTTTTGTGCATGTCGAGAGTAGTGCAGCGGGGCCCTATCTCTCTTGTCTGTTTTTGGTCTCTCTGCTTGTTTGGGCCTCTCGCTCGAGTACTCGGCAAATGTGCAAAACGAGAGTGAATCTTCGCTGGAACATGGAAAGATACATCGACGTGATTTATCATTTTTGTCTTTTGTGCATATCGAGAGGAGTGGAGCGAGGCCCTTGTTTCTCCCGTCGTTGGGAGTAGTAGGATTTCCTGTCTGTTCCTTCGTTCTGCGATTGTTATGGAAAGCGTGAGCGCATACTGTGGACCTGATTACGGCCAGATGCATCGAGGCGTGGCCGGAATTGCGGTCAGATACAAGTGTGAGTAAGCACTGAGAATAGCTGATCCGCGGAACTACCTAGTGCCCATGTTGTAACGACACGGTGTACCAGCAACAACGACAGGAGGATCGGAGTGATGCGAGCAGGCAGGAGGGTTTTCGGTTTCCCTTCGCTTTTTTGCTGATGATGCCGTCGATCACCTAATCAGTCATTCAGAATGAGAGGCGTTCAGTATTTCATGTGTATGTGTGTGTGTGTGAGGCGTTCACTATTTCATGTGTATGTGTGTGTGTGTGTGAGAGAGAGAGAGAGAGAGAGAGAGAGAGAGAGATGTGTATGTGTGTGTGTGTGTGAGGCGTTCACTATTTCATGTGTATGTGTGTGTGAGATAGAGAGAGAGAGAGAGCCGTTGGTGGCATTGGGGAGAAGAGAGAGGATAGCGGATGACGACCACGAGGTGTTGGTCGGAAAGTTTGTTTTTTATTTTATTTTAGGTTTGAAATTTATTCTCATTTTTGACTACGATTGGAAAGAATTTTCAATATTTTCATTGTATTTTCTCTGACTGAGAAACGCTTGGGTTTCTGCTCCGGTTTCCTTCCTGCGACCATTCGGTCGCGCTTGACTTTTGCATTCTGTTTTTTTTTCTTTTTTTTTCATTCTTTTTTTTTGCCTTTGCTTTTTTACAGGGAAACTCTGCTCATTCTTATTACCACACGAAGGAAAAGAGGCTTTCTGTTTCTCGTTCCTGCTTTTTTTTTTCTTTTTTTTTTTCCTGCTTCGGTTTCGTTGCTGTATTTGTAAATCGCTCGTTTTTATTCTGTAAGGGCCTTTGCTCCACTACTTCCCAAATGTGCAGTGCGTCCCGGGAAAAAAAAAAAAAAGGTGCAGTGCGAGGCAACGCCATAAATTGTCTTTTGTGCTTGTTTGGTGAGCGAGCCCCCGTTTGTTTATCGTGGTCCCCCGGAATCAACTTCAAAAAGACATCGGCTGGTAGTGTTTTTTTTGTTCTGTTTTTTGAAACAGCAATCATTCATTATATGGCAAAAAGGAGGCCAGGAATCCCTCCACATCTTAACCCGGTGAATGTGATCTCTGCTGCCGCACGAGATTTTTTTTTTTCTGTTCTTTTCTTTTGCTGCAAATGTTTCTTGTTCAATTTCGGATCGCCCCCAATATCGACCCTCAAAAGGAAAAAAGAAAAGTAGGCATATTGCGGACGGTTTGGATTTTTCTTTTTTTCTTTTTGTTCGGACTTGCCCGTTGCCACAAGGGGGTTGATATTGCTCAGGGAGCTTGAACTGTTTGACTCGCTCAGGCGAAAAAAAAACTCTATTGCAGAGGGTGTTGATTGTTTTCGGGGCTAGCCAGGGTGCAAAAATGACACTGAAAGTGATTTTGGGATTTGCGGCTGCGGCACTTTTTCCTCGTTTGGGGGGCAATGGATACAAAGGTTTCCTCTCTCTCTCTCTCTCTCTCTCTCTCTCTCTCTCTCGCTCTCTCACTCGCTCGCTCGCCCTCGCTCTCTTTGGGCCGGAATGAATGCTCGATAAAACGAAAATGAATGCTTCCCAACTGCAGACAGGAAAAGAAAAAAGAAGAAAGAAAGGGAAAAGAAAAGGCAGCGGCAGATTTTCTCTTGGGGGGGGGAGGACAAGTGCTTTGAACCTCTTCGCAGTTCACCACCAATGAGCTCGCACACAATCACACACCATATGCATAAATGAGATCACACGGTGTTTACACTGTGGACTGAAGGCCAGAGAGATGAAGACGAGGTTACTTAGCGCAGCCTTAGCTTTAGAATCTCGAACAAATTATCGTATTAGCAAAATTAAGGGTTCCATTCTTAAGTGCTCAACAGCCCAGATCCAAGTAAACCAGTATCTTCATTCAGGTTAAGTCTCTCTCCCACTGCTCTTCTCTCTTCTCTCTTGGTCTTCTCTCTGTCTGTCTACTCCCTCCCTCCCTGTGTCTTCTCTCTCTACTTGCATCCACTCACATTCTCTACTCTACTCAAGGAAAAAACTCTGAATACACCCACTGCTGACTCTACTAACCCCTCTGAGGTCTGCTACTAGCTACGAAGCTCTGGCGCAGCTATGGCTGCTCCCTTTCTCTCCCATTCGAACAGCGCGGCTGCCTGGCTCAGGGCTTGGGTCCTCACAATATCGCGCAAGTGCACCAGCACTTGCCCCCTTCATGCGAATGAGCAAAATCTGCCCGAACGAGGAGGCTGGCCACTCCTTATATTGTGTCTTTGACTGAGCTTCAACTTGTCCCAGCCTCCTCCTCTGCTTCTTGGGCCTTGGCTTGGTTCTGGTACCGGGGCTAGGTCCCACTTGCACGAATTAAGAGATACTGACCGTAGATAGCAAAGATCAACGGCCGAAATCTTCTCATTTGCGCAAGTGGGACCTTGCCCCCGCTCATCCCCACGCGCTGTTTGCTTCAGACTGTGAGGCCGCCCCAGGCAGCAGCAAACCAATGAAAGTACTTTTCCCGAATTTTCACTAGTGTGCTGCTGCCTGGGGCCTGGGAGTCACGACTGACTTCTTTTTTTTTTTTTTTTTTTTTTTGTGAGTGTCGTCCGGAGGACCACGGATCAGATATTAAACTGATCAGAACAGATACAGTGCACTTGATGTTAGCCAAAAGCCCGAGAAAGGTACGAGTCACGACTTTTCAATTTTGGAACCCATAACTTTTTTTTGGACTGTGGTTTGTGACTTACACGTCGTGAGTCACAGGCACACGACTTTTGCCTGGGAAAGTGTCCTTTGCCCGTGGGATGTGACTTTTTTCAATAGTACGACTTTTCATTATTATTATTATTATTATTATTATTATTATTATTATTATTATTTTAACTGATCAGAACAGATACTACACTTGATCTTAGCCAAAAGGCCGAGAAAGGCGCATCAAGAACAACCATAGCATATATGGAAAATGGAGAGTTGTTCGGAGGTGGCCCGAATACCACATACTTGTTGGGAGGTTCAAGATGTTTTTTCTGGTTTGGGAACGGCTCTGACATTTGCGGTGAATCGAGACCCGATACCCCCTGCTCAAACTTTGACACCTGTGTGTGTTCTGGAAACTACAACAGGCTATCATCCTTTCCACCTCTCCTCTCCTTCTTACCTTTTGTCTGTGGACCCCAGAGATTGGGCCTGGGAACATCCTCTGCATCGAAATGAAACGGTTCCGATTCTTCGATATTCAACCAAACTGGGATATCTGCTTACAACCCCTCCGGTTGATATCAATTGGAAGGTGGCTTGTAGCTGGTTGGCGACAGGATGGATCAGAGATTCGTTGACAAGACTATTGGAAGTGCTGCCCAGATTCTGGGTGAATCTGATGGACTTGGTTGTTGTCAAACACGCCAGTTTCCTCTGGCGCATGATGCATCAAGCAGTCCCGGTTGCAGTCTGGTGTGCAAAACGAACAACTAAGGCAAGGGCGGAATGTCAGATATGTCCTGGCACCCGAATGGAAGATTTGCAACACTTTGCGTTATATTGCGACGCTTCCCAGCCTTTTTGGGACTGGCGGAGACACTCAGATATTCCCGTTCCCGGAAATGGTCACAGATGGACTGATCACTTCATACTCATGGGAACAGCTGCAAGAATTACACCCCTTTCACGACGTTGTACACATGCGGAAGAGACACTCAGGGGTGCAATACTGTGGACCCTTTGGACACTGAGAAACTCGGCAACCAGACGTGGAGACAAGTTGACGCCACCAATGATTCGAGCAGAGGTTAAATATGGTATTAAACAGGCGATGCAGTCTGACTGGGAGCATACAGTACAGCGGAAAGGCTTTACCAGAAAGGCAATGCAGAGTTTTATCACACGATGGGGTGCTTTTTCGGGGCTTGCATCAGTGGACTGTCCCCCGGGCCGGTCGCCCTCTTTGGTCTTCTCGTGGTTTTTCCTGTGATTCATCGCACAGGTCTGTACATTTGTATAGTACACTGTTGTAGGACTGTGACACGGTGATTGTTGTATACAGCCGCAGATAATATAGGAGAGTTGTATACAAACAGGTTTTCCTACAGATAATATAGGTGACAAGGTTTTTAGCTGTACAAACAGGTTTTCTGGGATCAAGCATATACCTTGTAGAATTGTAGAGAGTGATAGATGTGTAGAGAGTGATGGATGTGTAGGACAACGATACGGCTGATGCTGTATACAGCTGCCGTTGATATGGGGTACTGGAATATGGTAAAATGGATGTGAATGGCCGGCTTTTTGGCCTTTTTTGTGCTTTGAAGGGCTTCACCCCTGACACACTTGAGGCATAGTCGTGGTATGAGCTTTGCCTGGCCGAAGAGCCTCGCTCAGCTCAGTACTGCGGCGACTTTTTGTGAGGGACGCCGGGCCCACTTCCCGGCTTTGATATTAATAAATGGTGACCTTTTTTTAAAAAAAAAAGGCCGAGAAAGGTATTCGACTTTTCATTATGAGACGTGACTTTTGCTTATAGAACGCAACGTTTTTTTTTTTGTTTTTTTTTTTAATTTTAACTAGAACGCAACGGTTGGGATGTGACTGTTGACCGGGGGTCCATGGTGGACGTGGGACTCCTAAGGTGCCCCCGACTGGGACTTGTCTTCTGGAACTGACCGACGTTGGCCTCCCTCTGGCCTATGGGCCTCGCCGCACTACTCTCGACATGCACAAAAGACAAAAATCATGGCGAAGTATCTTTCCATATTCTAGCGGAAGATTCGCTCTCGTTTTGCACATTTCGAGAGTAGTGCAGCGAGGCCCTATAAGACCTCTTGAGCGTGAAATTCGAATTTGGGGTCTGAATCGTGGAAGAGCTTTTTCACAAGGGGCCGCCAGCAGCGGTGAGTTTTGTCAATATGACGGAATCTGGACGTGTTTGTGGAGATGTGCGGTTGAGGAAACTCGACGCCGTTTCTGCACATTTGCTTAACAGGGATTTTGCAGCACGCCGTTTCTGCACATGTCCTCAAATCTGTCCAGATTCAGGCGATGAGGAAAGTCAGCGATTCGACGCAGTAGGGTGAGTAAAAAAAAAAAAAAAAAAACCTACTGAAAAAAGCAAAAACAAAAGCCGTCAAAACAAAAAAAAGAGGGAAGAAAACCTTGTCGTGCATTATTATCAATTCCGAAAAATAGCTCACAACATTCCTGTTGGTGTCAACGAATATGTATGTGGTCGCGGTATTGGCATCGAATGGTTGAGACAAATGAAATACGGACCTGAGTTAGAATCCAGCCGGAAATAGAAAAAATAATTCACGTTATCGGGATTCTGTTGTGTTAGAAATATCTATATCTATTTATAAATATATAATCTTGAATTAGCTGGGGCCGGTCAGTTGGAGAATGGGGCTCGCTGCACCACTCACCAAATGTGCAAAATGAGAATGAATATTCCGCTAAAAGTTGGGAAGAAACACCGA